TCTTATCTCAAATTCATAACTTAGGGCTCTTTCCCTATTCATATCCTTCCTAGAATTTCACTTAGAGTCCTCATCTTAAATTATCCTTCTTAAAACTTCAACTTAGAGGTCTTTCCTTAACTTCTCCTTCCTAGGACTTTGACTTAGAGTTTCTATACTCAATCTTAAGGGTCAAACATCCTAAGTCTCCAGCGGTTCGTACCGCTCTGATACCAACTTGTAACACCCCACTTTTCTTAATCTTAATTACAATTCTAAAACCAAAATTAATATAAACTAAGCAACGGATAAACACCTTAATTAATAAACTAGTGAGAATGCCACAACCACTACTCCACGGTGATTGCACATGCTAAGGGTGGAACTAAATCAATAAACCAAACTAACATTTAAATTGCTTAATTAAAAGTCATTTGGGGGAAAAACTCCCCGATGTCTATCATCCAACATAAAAAACATAAGTCTACAGTCCATCAAATAAACATCGTAATAAAATGAAGAGTTTTGACTACTAGATCTTCTAAGCTAGTCTAACTCGATCATCTCTCAAACGCTGGGCCCACCTGAAAGGGTTTTGCAAAACAACACATAGACAAGTAGGAAAACACCCGTTAGCACGAAGCTAAGTATAACCACACTCAACCCTGTAAAGTACTACAGTATATACTTTGGAAAAACATTTGCTCACATTCTCAAATTAAACAATCTCAAACAACTAGATGAACTTTAAGATAAACAACAAGCTTTCTATATGCTCACAACTTATAATATCAACATGCATGCTTCAACGATAATTAACTTATCAACATAACCACTCCAACGCATATTCATCATAGCAAACTCATCATAACGAACTCATGCTATCAAGCAAGTGCATACTATCAATCAATATGAAATTATTCTCATGCTTTCAAGTTCTCATCATGCAAACTAGATATATAAGACGTCAAAATGCAACTAAAGCAATCATGCTCAATATACATTCTCGGTTAATAACTCTCATTATGCAATCTAGTAAAAACATTCTCATCATGCAAACTCATGCAATACTATACTCAAATGCAATCTCGTGCAAACATTCTCATTATGCAATCTAGTGCAACACTATAAGTATACTTATACACTCGTTTGTAAAATAGAATACTTTTATGTGGAGGTTTCTTAGAGTCACAATGACTCGCTTTCTTTCTCTTGAGTCTCTTGACTCGATTTCTTTCTTGCTCAAACTTTCTCATACTTCTCGTTTCTCTTCTTGTGCGAGGCAGGTACTCTGCCTCAGGGAAGCCCTCGCGTACGGTGCAATCTCGTGCATCCGCCACATCCTTAACTATGGAACCTCTAACTCGTGGGGAGGTAGGTCTTCACGAATCGTGAATGGACCTAACCGGCTCGGCAAATCTAGTCGGCCACATACTCAACTCGCCCAACAAACCACTCTCTTGGTTCTATGCTCAAACTCTGTGGAATCAGGTATCATACTTTTAGTGTACACACCCCCTAACCAGGATTCCAAGCCTGGCGGGCAGTCTCTAACCTCGTAACGTGGGAATACGCCGCGTTACATGATAAATCTGCCGGATCGCAATGTCCGTTACTTTCTCTTTTACTCCGAAAGGACATAGTCCCAACGGGTCCTCCTAAACCTCACTAATATATATATATCATGCACCAAACTTATGCATGTCACCTCTCAACAACTTCTCAATGCAATGAAATTTCTCAATGCAACAAGAGTTTCCCCATGGTCATGAGTTTTGGAAAATAATACTTAGGAGGGTGTATTCAATCATGACTTTTGTAGAGTTTTAAAGACTTTTAAAATGATAGATTTTAATAAACTTTGATTGACTTTTAGAGAGTCGTTCAAAACTTTTTAAAACTTTATAAGACTATAAAAGTCTATATAAAAAATATTCATAGACTTTTATCAACTTTTTATTTTTAAAAAGTCTACAAAAGTCATTGAAATTCTAAATTGAATACATCCTTACAAACTTTCAATGATTTTGATGCTTATAATTTATATAATTTTCTTACAAAACATTTATAATATATCATAAAATTCTTCTTATTATATAGTTCTTCATCCACATCAACATTCTCAACATTATTATTTTTATCCATAGTATGTTGAGACTTACTCCGTATATGTTAATTACTTATATATATATATATATATATATATATATATATATATTAATATATTATTAATAAACATCAACAAAAAAAACTATTTCATTAGAAATTCATAACAATATTGAACAATAAAATTTATAATAAAAGAATTGAGAAATAAAATATTTAAAAATATAATTACAAGTTGCATAAAATAAAAAATAAATAAAAATCTAATATTAATAATATATATATATATATATATATATATATATATATATATATATATATATATATATATATATATATATATATATAAATTATATTTGATATATTGCTAGGCATTACATAAAGAACTATTATTTACATTTTACAATAACAATTTGAGACTACGAACAACAACAATGTGCTACTGTTTGCAACCCCAAATTGTTGTTGCGAACAATAGTTCGCTATTCGTAGTAACGTGTTGTTAAAAAAAAAAGAGGAAAAATATATATTACGGATATAAACATAAAAAAGAATAAAAATCAAAATCTATAAGTATTTATGTGAATATTATGAAACATATACTAAAAGTTGACGATGAAAAATTTGCTTTACTCATGTATTTAGGAAAAATTAGAGAAAGTTAGGGATAAAAAATTCATAGAAAAAATAAAAATCAATATAAACAATAAATAATGAAGTAAAAATAATATTATTTCGAATTTTTAGAAGAAGATTGTAAAGTTTAGGAGAGAGAAAAATTGGTAGAGTTTAGGTATGAAGAAAATATAGGATAATGAAGAAAAAATAATTTTATTAAATTTAGATAAGTTTATAAAGTTTAAATAGGGAGAAAAAAATACAGTTTAAATAGAAAGAGAAAACATTCAAAGTTGTTAGAAAGAAAATTTTGAAATCTTGGGGTTGATGGTTGTATTCCGCCGGCTGCCCGCTGGAACAGTGATACGGGCAGCGGGTAGGTGGTCAGTCCCCCACCTACCCCCCACTGATATGCAGGCAACTTTCGGTCCCGGTATCTCTTGTGGACCCAAAACCATGTCCAAACACATTCAAACACATAATGACAGCACCGCATATTCAATTAATGGAATTAAACCAAGAATCACACCAAATACATCCTAACACAATTCCCAAACATACCAAGACCCAACATAAATCATATAACGGTTCAGGAGCATCCGGAACCTCAAGAACATCAAGAAATCTATATGCATGGTCCTAAACACAAGTCCTAGGCTAGACTCAACACCCGATCATGCATAATCCCACCCAAATACACCAATAACATCATAATACGAAATTCACGATATGAAACCTAGGGCTCTAGACATAATCCAAATGCAAGATCGTTCATATAATCAATCATAATATCAAGAACATCAAGATTATCACATAAAACAATATAAACCCTAGGCAAAGATCTATCAAGACTCAAACACAAAATCATATATCAAGGGAGCCAATGAATAAGATATAGCAAGGAAAATAGGTTTTGTCGAGACATGGGTTACCTCTTAGCCTTAATTAATTATCCCTTGGCTATTAAGGTTCTTCTTTAAAATTTCCCTCCGATTGATCTTCCTAGGCTTGGTGGTGGGGGAATCTCCTGGGAATAATTTCGTGTAATACAACTATGGGAGGTAAGGGTTCTAATTTCTTTCTAATCCCCTATATATAGATTTAGGAATCCCAAACAGAGTCTAAATGGTAAAGACCTATATTCTATTCCTAACAGGTATATGGGTCTAGGGTTCCTAATTAGAATCTGAATAGTGGAAGGTCCAATCTCTTTATTCCTAAGAGGCTTAAGACTCTATTTTAGGCAAGGGTCCACGATCCATGGTGGACCACATTAATTAATTAAAGGGAATCCTAACCAAATTAAGTCTTTTTTAATTATTATTAACGGAATTAATTAAATAATTAATCCAGGATTAAAGGCCATAACATGAGGTGTTACAAAAATGATGTTGGAGGAGTTACACAAGAGGATCATACACACATTAATGTGGACTTGCAGTATGAAGGGGAAGATGAGGGTACTGTTAAGTGTAAGGGAAAGGGAAAGGCAAATGGAAAGGGGAAGGGAAATGAAAAGGAGGTTATGGGCAAGGACAATAAAGTGAACCTAGATGGCACTAAAAAAACAGTTGAGGGTGAGGCTTGTAGTGATGACTACTATTATGACTCAGCAGACCCACCAACCCAAGAGTCAGAAGAATAAGAAGTTGCACAACATATAACACCTCCATCTAGGAAATCTAAGCTACCATCTTATAATCCAGATTGTGATTTCCTTGAGCTTGAAAAAGGAATGTTATTTGAGGATGCAACACAGTTTAAGACTGCCATGATCAAGTATGTAGTGCACTTTAAAAGGAATATATACTTTTACAAGAATGAGAATACGAGGGTGAGGGGTAAATGTGTTGAGGGGTGTCCTTTTCTTTGTCATTGTAGTTGGGAAGAAAGGTATATGTGTTTCCAGCTGAAAACATGCTTACTTGAGCATAGGTGCAATAATAAATACAAGCTGAAATTGGTAACTCAAAAATAGTTGGATCAAAAATATGAGGGTATAATTCTAAAAGACCCAACCATGCAACATAGCAAGCTTAGGGATCATATTCAATCTGAGTTGAAGATTAATTTGACCATCACTATGGTCAGAAGGGCACAAAAAGCAATTTTACACAGGGTGTGTTAAGGAGTTAGTACTGTTAGAGCTAATAGCTTTAGTTTCCTTTATTTGTGGTTAGTTTCCTAAGTTCTAGCTACTTCAGTGTATATATAATCTCTGTGATCTCAAGTCTAATAATATATAGAAATTCCCTTTGTTAAACATCCATCTGGTATCAGACGTTTCTACCGATCCTATGGCCAATACACAAGAACAAACAAACCCACCCACCGCTGTTAATACTTCGGTCACCTCTTCCGACCGTACTGTCACCATTCTTGATTCCAGACCCCAAAACATGTTGCAACAAGCCCACCATTACGTTTCAATTAAGCTGACTGCCACAAATTATCTATTTTGGAGAGCGCAGCTAGTGCCCTTCTTACGGGGGCAAAATCGTTACGGGTTCGTCGATGGCACTACCGTCTGCCCACCAGAATTTGTTGCCTCGTCCTCAGCGGTGGCTCCGGCCACCAACCCGTCCTATGCTCAGTGGATCCAACAGGACCAGTCCATCTTGAGCATGATTATTTTGTCGTTGGCAGAAGAAGTTCTCTATCTAGCTATCGGCCATTCAACGTCCCGTGCGGTTTGGCTGGCGGTCGAGACAGCTCTCGGCTCAGCATCACGGGCTCGCTCGTTGAGTCTTCTCACTCAGCTACAGAACCTACGGCAAGGTGATTCTACGCCGGTCGAGTACTTGGGACGGGCGCAGGTGCTCGTTGAGCAGCTCGCTCAGGCCGGTCGTCCTATCGGTCTCGACGAGCAGAATTTGCACGTGTTTCGTGGACTCCGTGCAGAGTATCGAGGTCTGGTCGCGTCGCTTACGACCAAAAGCGCTCCGCTAACAATTCATGAGGTTTCCGATTTTCTCTCCACTCATCAGTACCTCTTTCCCGATGAGTCTCACACCATGCTACCCCAATCGCCTTCCGCACTGATCGCGCAGCATCCACAGTCGCGTCCTTCCCATGATGGTGGTCGAGGGCGAGGGCGTAACCACCGTAGACAATGAGGACGGGGACAGCGAGGGAGAGGGGGTGTACGCTGCAAGCTATGCGACATCCCTGGACACACTGCACTAACCTGCTATCACAGGTTCGTTGACGTCTCCGGCCATCGGACGATGCCACAGCAAGGGGGAGCTCGTCCACCACCACAGCCGCAGGTTAATATGTCATACCATCAGTCTCAGGATGACTATAATACTGTGCCCTTTGCCAATGTATGGCTGCCGGACACCGGCGCTAATGCACACGCAACACCGGTAACCGATGGCTTGCAGGAAGTTGAACCTTACACGGGCGCGGATGCTCTTCGAGTTGGTGATGGGTCAGGTTTGTCTATCAAACATACAGGTTCTGCGTTTATCCCATCTAGGTTACGGTCACTGTCTCTGAACAATATCTTGCATGTTCCCCATTTACGTGCTCCATTACTTTCAGTTCATCAATTTACTAAAGATAATGACGTTTATTTCGAATTTCATCCCTTGTTTTTTACTGTGAAGGATCGTACAACCCATCAAATCCTGCTTAGTGGTCCCAACAAAGGAGGGATGTATTCTCTCAGTACGTCGCCTCCGGTCGTGTTTCTGTCTGCTAGAGCTACCCCGCAAGTGTGGCTCAGCGTCTTGGTCACCCACACCTTAGGGTCCTCTGTCAGGTTATTTCTCATTGTCTGGTCACCGGGTCTATTAATTCAATGAATAATCTATCTAAGGCCTGCCAGATGGGTAAATCATCAAAATTCCCTCTGGCACGCATTGAAAAGTCTAGTCGGGCACCTCTTGAGTTAGTGTTTACAGATGTCTGAGGGGCCTTCTTCTGTTCCGTCAGTTGATGATTTTAAATACTTTGTATTATTTGTAGACGACTTTACACGCTACATATGGTACTTTCCAATGAAATCAAAGACTGACATTTATTCTATTTTCAATACCTTTCGCACAACTGTCGAAAAATTATTGTCGTGTCAAATCAAAAGCATTCAATCTGACCTCAGTGGTGAATACCAAAAATTGCACTCCATATTCACTGCTGCAGGGATTACTCATCGACAGTCCTGCGCCCACACACATGAGCAAAATGGTGTTGTGGAGCGCAAGAACCGTCATGTGGTCTAAACTGGTCTATCTATGTTAGCTCAAAGTCACGTACCCCAAAAATACTGGTCGTTTGCATTTGAGTCGGCCGTCTACTTAATAAATCGGATGCCATCGTCAATTCTAGCTAATCAAAGTCCCTATTACTGTCTGTTTCAAAGGTCTCCAAGTTATCATATGTTAAAAGTGTTTGGGTGTGAATGCTTTCCCTGCCTAAGACTGTATAATACTAACAAAATAGAGTACAGGTCCACCTCATGCGTGTTTTTGGGTTATCCCAACTTGTTCAGTGGCTACAGGTGCTTAGACCGCAACTCAGGGCGTGTATATGTCGCCCGGCATGTACGCTTCAACGAGAATGTTTTCCCGTTCGAATGTACACCATCTACAACAGCTCCATGCACCACCAGCGCTGCCCCAGCTGTGTCACCTTGGGCATGCGCGCCAGTCCTCCATGCAGCGCATCCGACGCCACCACCTGCACCGGCACTGCCAGAACCGTGCCGTGACTTGGCGACCGAACCTGTGCCTGGCTTACCGTCATCATCTTCGGCTGTTGCGACATCATCGTCCTATCAACCGTCGACCTCGTCAACAACCACGAGCCGTCGACGGAGGCGTGATCCAACCCGCACGCATGGCATGAGACTACGGCTAACAACGAATGTTCAGCACCGGCCAACACCGTTTGTGAGCCGCCGGCCTCCCCGAGCACTGATCGCCTCAGTAGATGACAACGAGCCTACCTGTCACTCCCAAGCGATCAAAATTCCGGAGTGGTGGACCGCAATGGACGTTGAATTTAATGCTTTGTTAGATAATCAGACGTGGCAGTTGGTACCACTTAAAAATGATATGAATGTAATAAGCTGTAAATGGGTTTTTCGGATTAAACGCAGGCCAAACGGCACTGTTGAACGGTACAAGGCCCGCTTGGTTGCCAAGGGGTTCAATCAAGTCCCGGGCACGCACTATTTTGAAACATATAGTCCGGTGGTCAAACCGACTACTATTCGCCTTCTTTTGGCGTTTGCAGTGTCGAATAAATGGACAATGCGACAACTCGACGTCCACAACGCCTTCCTAAATGGGCGAATTACTGAAGACATCTACATGCGTCAGCCACCCGACTACGCCAACCCGAGCTACCCACATCATGTGTGTAAGCTTCAACGGTCTCTTACGGTCTCAAACAGGCACCCCGTGCCTGGTTTACGAGACTACATGATTTTCTAATACAGGTTGGCTTTCGTCCTTCCAAAACGGACATATCTTTATTCATCTACGACTCTGGACAAGTGCGGTGCTATGTGTTAGTCTATGTCGACGATATTTTATTGTTGGCAAATGAGGCTAGCATGGTCAATGAAATGCTTACCAAGTTGGCTTCCGCGTTAAAGATACGTGATTATAATACTGTGCCCTTTGCCAATGTATGGCTGCCGGACACCGGCGCTAATGCACACGCAACACCGGTAACCGATGGCTTGCAGGAAGTTGAACCTTACACGGGCGCGGATGCTCTTCGAGTTGGTGATGGGTCAGGTTTGTCTATCAAACATACAGGTTCTGCGTTTATCCCATCTAGGTTACGGTCACTGTCTCTGAACAATATCTTGCATGTTCCCCATTTACGTGCTCCATTACTTTCAGTTCATCAATTTACTAAAGATAATGACGTTTATTTCGAATTTCATCCCTTGTTTTTTACTGTGAAGGATCGTACAACCCATCAAATCCTGCTTAGTGGTCCCAACAAAGGAGGGATGTATTCTCTCAGTACGTCGCCTCCGGTCGTGTTTCTGTCTGCTAGAGCTACCCCGCAAGTGTGGCTCAGCGTCTTGGTCACCCACACCTTAGGGTCCTCTGTCAGGTTATTTCTCATTGTCTGGTCACCGGGTCTATTAATTCAATGAATAATCTATCTAAGGCCTGCCAGATGGGTAAATCATCAAAATTCCCTCTGGCACGCATTGAAAAGTCTAGTCGGGCACCTCTTGAGTTAGTGTTTACAGATGTCTGAGGGGCCTTCTTCTGTTCCGTCAGTTGATGATTTTAAATACTTTGTATTATTTGTAGACGACTTTACACGCTACATATGGTACTTTCCAATGAAATCAAAGACTGACATTTATTCTATTTTCAATACCTTTCGCACAACTGTCGAAAAATTATTGTCGTGTCAAATCAAAAGCATTCAATCTGACCTCAGTGGTGAATACCAAAAATTGCACTCCATATTCACTGCTGCAGGGATTACTCATCGACAGTCCTGCGCCCACACACATGAGCAAAATGGTGTTGTGGAGCGCAAGAACCGTCATGTGGTCTAAACTGGTCTATCTATGTTAGCTCAAAGTCACGTACCCCAAAAATACTGGTCGTTTGCATTTGAGTCGGCCGTCTACTTAATAAATCGGATGCCATCGTCAATTCTAGCTAATCAAAGTCCCTATTACTGTCTGTTTCAAAGGTCTCCAAGTTATCATATGTTAAAAGTGTTTGGGTGTGAATGCTTTCCCTGCCTAAGACTGTATAATACTAACAAAATAGAGTACAGGTCCACCTCATGCGTGTTTTTGGGTTATCCCAACTTGTTCAGTGGCTACAGGTGCTTAGACCGCAACTCAGGGCGTGTATATGTCGCCCGGCATGTACGCTTCAACGAGAATGTTTTCCCGTTCGAATGTACACCATCTACAACAGCTCCATGCACCACCAGCGCTGCCCCAGCTGTGTCACCTTGGGCATGCGCGCCAGTCCTCCATGCAGCGCATCCGACGCCACCACCTGCACCGGCACTGCCAGAACCGTGCCGTGACTTGGCGACCGAACCTGTGCCTGGCTTACCGTCATCATCTTCGGCTGTTGCGACATCATCGTCCTATCAACCGTCGACCTCGTCAACAACCACGAGCCGTCGACGGAGGCGTGATCCAACCCGCACGCATGGCATGAGACTACGGCTAACAACGAATGTTCAGCACCGGCCAACACCGTCTGTGAGCCGCCGGCCTCCCCGAGCACTGATCGCCTCAGTAGATGACAACGAGCCTACCTGTCACTCCCAAGCCATCAAAATTCCGGAGTGGTGGACCGCAATGGACGTTGAATTTAATGCTTTGTTAGATAATCAGACGTGGCAGTTGGTACCACTTAAAAATGATATGAATGTAATAAGCTGTAAATGGGTTTTTCGGATTAAACGCAGGCCAAACGGCACTGTTGAACGGTACAAGGCCCGCTTGGTTGCCAAGGGGTTCAATCAAGTCCCGGGCACGCACTATTTTGAAACATATAGTCCGGTGGTCAAACCGACTACTATTCGCCTTCTTTTGGCGTTTGCAGTGTCGAATAAATGGACAATGCGACAACTCGACGTCCACAACGCCTTCCTAAATGGGCGAATTACTGAAGACATCTACATGCGTCAGCCACCCGGCTACGCCAACCCGAGCTACCCACATCATGTGTGTAAGCTTCAACGGTCTCTTACGGTCTCAAACAGGCACCCCGTGCCTGGTTTACGAGACTACATGATTTTCTAATACAGGTTGGCTTTCGTCCTTCCAAAACGGACATATCTTTATTCATCTACGACTCTGGACAAGTGCGGTGCTATGTGTTAGTCTATGTCGACGATATTTTATTGTTGGCAAATGAGGCTAGCATGGTCAATGAAATGCTTACCAAGTTGGCTTCCGCGTTCAAGATACGTGATTTGGGGCTTCCTCGATTCTTTCTTGGAATTAAAGCCAAGTACGGCCCCGATATGGTTGTGCTCTCTCAACAGCGATACATGTCAGAACTACTACGCAAGGCTGGCATGGAATCATGTAAACCACTCGCAACACCGATGACTGCAGCACAGATGAGTGTTTCAACCGATTCACCTTTTCTAGATGATCCCA